ACGAGACAGAAATAAGACGATTTGATGTAAACAGCACTGTAAAAGTCTTAGGCAGCCATGAAGATTATTCAAAACTATTTATATCTGCTGTGTGTCCTTGACAATTAAAATGCTAAATAATAAATACAGTATAGAATAAATACTAATTAACAAATACAGTAAAACACAAACTTTTTTGTTTATCAAAAAAGTAATTAAAGTCCTCATAACCTGTGTCCTTTTATGACGTTTGTCTGGATTTATATACCAAAAACAGCCATAATTATTTTTTTTCCAACATTTCTTTATTAGATAGACTTAATATTAGGCTGTTACTGTGCTTTTAAGACCAATTCTCTGTTCTGATAGACTGGCTTGTAATGAGCCATTCAAATTTAAAAACCAGTTTGGGCTGAAATGCTCCTCACCTTAAAATGAATGGGGTGCATATGAACTGCCATAGGCTGTATAGCTGAATAAATGCAAATGCATTGATTTTTGTGACATCACAAAAACACTGTTTTTCCAGCTTAGTTTATATTTCGCTGCTGTCAGAACAAAACCTTGCATCTCCATTTTTGTTGTTTTTCAGTTTTTGACATATTTTGGAAATACCTCTTGTCCTTTACAGTGTGTGTAAATTTCATTTCATTTGACCAAAAGAAACAGCCCAAAATTACTTGGAAGAAAGTCTGGTTTCATTGACTTACATTGAAAGTAAAGTATGTTTTTTCCTTCTCCTGTAAAGTCATCATTTTGGAGAGACAGGGTTTTGTTCTGACAACAACGATACAGGACTGTATAGGCTGGGGAGTAAATGAAGTTTCGAAACCTTGACACCTTTTACATACATCATCAAACTCTTTTATTTAAAATTGTTTTTCTCTTTAATATCTTTGTTAGAAGAACACAGGTTTGGTTCTCGCTGCCCTCCAGCCATCGTATGTTCAGTTCTATCAGGAGCACATCTGATTTAGGTATTAAATGCTAACTGAAAGCCTTCTTTAGGAGATATTTTGAAATGGTTAAGCTAACTGACAGCAAAAAAATCACAGTGTATCATTTGTTTGTTTATTTGTACTTTTCTTATATTAATGTTCTTAAAAAACACTTACTGCACAAAGAAATGGCTTTAAATTTCATATTGTACGATTTTGCACAGTACTGTGTAAATATACACTTACGCTATTGCAGTGCTTGCTGTGTGACTGGTGTAAAAGGCTACATTGATTAACGCAGGAGCACACTGCAAGCGACATGGCAGTGCGGTTGCCACTACTGGTATGATGCACTCCACATTACACAGCTTCACACAGAACACACTTTATGGTGATGACATGCTGAGCTCTGCAGACAGCATGCTATTATCACTTTGTTGCAGCCCTATATTCAATAACAGTTTAGAAAAGTTCAGTACCCAACCAGAGCAAATAATGTTGAGACGGAGACCATTAATTTGCGGTATCGAGACCAGTCTTGAGTACTTCAACTCTAGTCTGCACTGAAAAAAGCTAAGAGCAGAGTGTACGGGAGAAGCACAGGTTGTCCCAGACTCTGCACAGTCAGAGGCCAGAGGTAAGCCAGAAATCGTCCATGGACTAAATGTGGTGTAAAGAAATAAAAAACAAAAAAAGAAACTCCGAATCCGTCTCCATAGTTTGGCCCAATCCAGCAGAGCATGGGCTATAAAATTTAGTCAAAACACTTCTTAAAATGATTTGAACGGGCAAGCAGCTGTGCACTGTGCTATGACAGATTGACTTATAACTCTTGGCTTGAAAACTGACATTGGTAGCTTTTTTCAATGAAAACCCTCTTTGTGAGGGAAAAATGACGCGTGCGTGTTTTTCTTCATCTTGCTTAAGTGGACGTCTTATGTGATGTGAACGTGCTTGACGGATGGGAAGTGCCACATCGCTAATTTGTAAATCGGCAGAAAAATGACTGACACCTTTGGGTTGTTGCGCGAGCCAGCAAAGGAACAGGTAGTGCCAATTAAAGCGGCCTTTTTGAGTAATCAGATCATAACGGATTACCCTAGATTCCTCTGATAATGTCAGGAAACGCCTTGAGTCAGAGAGAGAGAGAGAGGGAGAGAGAGGGAGAGAGACATAAACAGTAGCAGTGAAAGAAGTTAGAATGGAGAGAGAGAGAGAGAGAGAGAGAGAGAGAGAAAGGGAGAGAGAGCATAAAGAGGAAAATGCGAGATTGAGAATAGTGGGGTGAGCCATTCAGCAGAGTTGGCTGACAAAGGCATGTTGAGGGGGAAGTGTTAACCTGATTTGTGCGGCAGGCGAGCAGGCAGGCAGAGCGACGTCAGCTGTGTGAATGTGTGCGTGTGTGTGTGTGTGTGTGTGTGTGAGAGGGATCATAAAAAATTCTCTCCTTGGTTAGCCGCGGGGCATCCTCCTCAGCCTCTGGCCTGCTCCAGTCATTGGCCTGCTCCCTAATTGCCACATAGACTCCACCACACATGGGCAGATGAGATGACATTTTTCCCCTCACTGTCACTGGGCGAGTCTCCGTCCCCCCCCCCAACGCTAGTTGCTAAGACGCTGTCATAACCCATTAGCAGTTGGCCAAAGTTAGCCCGTGGCATTTCCTCATAGCATCAGCGAAAAGGCGAATAAATCTGCCACTGGAGCCTGCTGCCGGTCTAATGAGGCTGTGAGCTTGTTTATGGACCGGCATCATTTTTATGATTATTTCCACCTTTTCGGACTCACCGCCTGTCCATGTGCCTTCCCGGGCAGGGCAGGAGGAAGTGGAAGCTTCGGCAGCGATGGCCGCTGACATTTTGTGAAAAAAACATGGCCCACAACCGCCATATGCCTCTCTCTCGCCTTGATATTTGAGAAAAAAAGGAGGGAGAAATTAGCCCCAGACCTAGCCGGGGTGAATCGGCATCAAATTGCAGCGAAAATGGAAATGCCAATAAAATTGACGGCCTCTGCTTTTTGCTTTTTTTTTCCCTGCTCTCCCCCTTTCTGCCTTGAAGGCCTGGGCCCTCAGAGGTCAGGCTTAAGTAAAAATATTGGGGAAAGAGGTTAAACAATTCATAATATGGAGAAGAGGAGGGGAAGGAAAGCTCTGGAGAGCAACAGTCTTACCTCACAGTGTCTCTTACTCCATCTCCCTTCTTCTAAATCTCTCTTTCTCTTCTCTCTTTCTGTCTCCCACCCTTACTCCCCTCCCCTCCTCTTTTTTTCCAGGCTCTGTCCTGATATCCAGCCTTTGCTTCTGTTTTGCTAAGTCGCATGGGACAAGCCCTGGGTTTATTATTTTAAGCTTTGCTGAACACGAACCGGTCTTTACACCGGATTGAGAGCATTTGCTTCCAATGAAAATCTTGTCTTAGATTACAAACCAGCGGTGCCGATTCCCTTCCCAGACGAGAGCAAGGAAGTCCTATTTGCCTAAAAACAGTAGGGAGGACAAACTGCTGCTTAGGCCAGACTGTTTTTGGCTTTGGCTAATGATGTAATCGAAGCTTGTGTGTTTCTCTCCATGTGTGTCTGTGATAGCTTATGCTCTTTTCTCTGTGGGGGCGGGTCGGGAAGCTCTGGTGACTCTCAGGAAGCAGCTGAGGGGGGGAAAAGTGCCCTTGTGTAAAAAGGCAGCACCATTGTATCTACATAAGTCTCCACTTAAGAAACCCCAGCCTTTCTAGAGCTCTGCTCTCTCTCCTGCTGCAAGGGCAGCCGGAGAGGGGCCGGCCAGGCGGTTTTTAGAAGGAGTGGAGAAAAGCCCTCCGCTCTCCTAATGGCGTGTATAATTCAGATGCCCGCAAGGCATGCTTTCAGGAATTCTTTTGCCTGAGGTAATGGGGAGCAAAGGCTGTTTTAGGCCCTTGATTATTCCGCTGATGCGCAAAGCTGGAAAGAAAGCTATCTCCAGCCGCATTACCGCGGACATTTCCATTAATTATCAATGAGCCCGTCCCGTGCAGGTGGCAGGAAAAGGGTTAACCCGCCGCCATCACCTGTCGAGACTTTTACCAAAAGAGTGGCGCTTTTGGGAACGCTTTTTGTGTAATTAATAAATAACTGCATCCAATTCTGTGCCTGCACAAAACGTGAGCTCAGCTATTGAAATCCGCAGCTCTCTGAGGTTGTTTACCTCGCTCATGTTTCTTTTATGATTTATTATTTATTATTTAAAATAGCTGAATCGTCAGCTTCATGATGTGTTTTTTTTTTTTGAATAATGATAATAACAATTATAAAAAGTCATCTCAGTGATGGAGAGGGGCTCCTTCTGTTGCCGCCATATAGAAGACATACAATAATTGGGCTTGTGAATAAAAGCACGGCGTGCTTGCAAGCTCCATATTCATCAGATGCAGAGCAGCGTAGAGCTCCAAAGCAGCCTAAGTCCTCTCTAGGCCCAGGTCCTGTTTAACTGGCCTTAATGGAGGCCTTATCAAGAACCCACAGGTTGCTGTAGGCACCCATGCTGCATTGTTATTAAAATGCTGTGCTTTGAAAAGGCCCCCATTGCGCAGGGAGCCGTATTTCTCTCCCTTGCTTTTGTGTTGCCGTGTAAGTCTCCCCTACCTGAAAAATAACTAACTAAATAAATAAATAAAAATAATAATAAAAGAGCGGCGGGGTAAATATTTTCCCAGGACGATAAAGACTAAATCTCTCTGTCGGTGACGATTCTTCTGCGAGCGTCTGATGGCAGCGAAGAAATGCGACCTTACAAGCCCTTTGTTTGCTTGCCGCTGTCTTTCTTTCCTTTTCTTTCTTTCTATCTCTGTCAGTCTCTCTCTTTCTCTCTCTATCTGTCGGTGCTCTGAGCTGTGTGTTTCTTGTGAGTCTTGTGTGCGGAAGGAGGGTTATTTATAAAAGTATTAAAAATGAATGTGTTCAGAGGTGCTGTCTCTAAGTCCTACTGATGTGAAATTGTTGCTCGTCTGCCCCATTTTGTAGACGAAAAGAACATCCTTGTGTGTGTTTGTGACTGGCCGCTAAGGTAAACCTGCTCCCTTGACACTGTCTCTGTGTGTGTTTTGACAGGCGACGGGCTGGACAACAGTGTGGCCTCCCCCAGCACGGGCGACGACGATGACCCAGACAAGGAGAAGAAGAGGAATAAAAAACGCGGCATCTTCCCCAAAGTAGCAACCAACATCATGCGGGCATGGCTCTTCCAGCACTTGACGGTAAGTGGACTGCAGTTATCTGTCTCCCTCAGTCCACTAAAATGCTCCAATCTCCCCATCTAACTTCAACATGCCTGGATACGTTTGGAAACCAAGGAGGAAAACAGCCTCCAGGTACAGATAGCAAAGATGAATATTATTAAGACAGAACTCTGCTTTTCTCCCCCATTTGGCCTTGTTTGTGGTGCATAGGCATGAGTTGGTGAAAGTGGCGGCTCTCTAGGATGCAAATTTGCGTGTGTGTGTGTAAAGTTAGCATGGAGACCGTACAGTTCACATGACCAGTGATGAGGCAGCTGGTTACGTGTGTTTGTTAGAATCTGGTGCATTTTAATAAGTGTGATACACAAAAAGTTGGGACAAAATGTAAAATGCTCATAAAAACAGAAAGCAGTGATTATTAAATTCAGTTTGGCCGGTTTTAAATTGATCATCAAGAAGGCAGCATCTGTTGCTTCAGAATGTAAATATATCTTTCAGCAATAATGGTGCCAATACATGTTTCCACTGTGCATCAGTCCTTTTCAGCTTGTGCCCAGAGAAGTCGGCGGTGTTTCTGGATATTATTGACATTGCTTCCACAGTGGATAGTGCAGTCTTAACTCACCTTTATTGATATAATAATGAACAGGGTTAAATGACAACAGTTTGTCAAAGTATCCCCAAGCCCATGTGGTCATATCCATCATAGAAGCTTGCCGGTTTTAACGCAGTGCCGTCCAAGGGGTCGAAGATCACGACTATTCAGTTGTGGTTTTCAGCCTTGTTCTTGTTGCCCAGAGATTTTTCCAGATTCCCTGAATCTTTTGATGATATTATACACTGTGTAGGGTATATGTAATGTCTCATAGGTGTCAATTTCAGAATGTGTGTATATTTGCAAAAAACGAAAAAAAAAAACAATAGAATTGATAAAGTAAAACTTCAAATATGACATTGTACTGTTTTGTATGTCATTGTACTGCCTTTTGTTTTATTTGCATTTCATACACTGTCCCAACTTTTTTGGATTTGAGGTTTGTAGTATGGAGGCAGCCATGTCAGTGAACAGGAATCATGCTAGGGACAGTTGGTTGGTGGAAAGTATGTATTTTTATGCTATGTATATGTATGTGTGCGTGTCTGTGTGTTTGTGTGGCAGCCAGTGTTGGTATTTTAGGCCCAGTGGTTAGCTGTCTGTGGCTGTCCCCACCTGCAATAGAGAAGCGTTAGGGAAACGCACTGCATTGATGTGGTCTCTTCTTCCTCTCACTTTGATGAACTTTAGTTCCTCTATTTCATTCACCACAAGCTAATCTGAGTGTTTTATGAGGACACCACTTATCTCCACAAATCAACACCACTGACTTAACTCACCAATCACACACTGCACTTGCAGGGCTGTCAGGCACTATTACACAACTCATGGGGCCCTAAACACTGTGAAATGTTCCCTTTTTTGCATAAAAAAGATAAACAGATAATTTCATGATTGGCCACACCGGTCATTGTTTTGAAGGTGTTGAAAGGCAATGTGTTTTCAACCAAACTGGAGTCAAAAGGGAACCCATTTGATCATTTCCAAAAGCACCCACATGTTCACCCCCATTCTCACATCTGTGGCACAGAAACTACCCCAGGGGCTCAAGAACCTTCATCTGCCCCCGGCCCCTCCTTTTACCCTCACACACAAAAACACATGCACCACCCCCTCCACTAGCCATCACCTTTAGGGGCCCCAGGAGAAAGGTGTGTGAAAAGAATGCCATTTGCTAGTTCACACGCAGCGCTCTTACACACGCATTCGTGATGGGCATTCCGGCTCTTTTCAGTGAGTGAGATCAATTGGCTCAGCTCACCAATAAGAGCCGGCTCTATCAGCTTCCAAATGGCTTTTCTAGTTTTTTTCCCTCCAATATAAGCCAAGTTAGCAATATTATCTATTATTTAATAACTCAGGTCAGTCTACCTTCTAATTAACTAATTAACAAAAAAGGCATGACATTTGCCTAAAAAACAATTTAAATAAATGTAAAACCATCAAGACGCTACTGTGAAAGAAAAAAAATGACCATTCTTCCTAGATTTGGCTGTACTGAATAGATCAGATGTTGATAAGTAGTTTTGCTTTGTTGATAAGTTGCACTGCATGTGATTGACAGTCTACTAAGCAAGGTGAAAGTTTTATTAGGGAAAATGTAAAAAGCAAAGTACACTGACTTTACTTATTCAAATGTGTACATTCCACATAAATAAAATAGATTACATCGACTCAGTTCTTGTCAAAATTGAGTAACCTGAAAGAAAAAATTGTGCAGATGTAATATATTTTATTTATGTGGAACCAACATACAAATTTAAATCAACTGAAGTCGGTCCCCTTATTTCAGTCCAAAGTCTGAGGCAGGAGTCAAAAGATATACGGGCAGACAGACAAAATGCAGGCAAAGCCATCAACCAGTCATCAACAAACAAGGCTGAAATGTCAAAAATCAGAAGAACTGGCAAGACATTCTTGAAAACATGGGTTTAAAAATGATAGGGAAACCACCAAGAACAAAACTAACACAGCAAACAAATTTGGGGAAAATGAGGGGTCTGAGCTGGAACGTTCAAAAGAGATCCAGGAGCAGGGTCACAGTATCTAAATAAATTTTTAAAAATCAGTTCTTTAATGCAAATCGGCTCCCAGCGCTCACCTAAAAGAACGTCACATCGCTAACACATGCTAAGAATGATTGGTGAGAGCTGTCCGGTTTGTCCTGGTTTTACTGGCACCATGAACAGAGCTGTGTTATTCAGCTTGCCTTGTGTCTGTGTGCTCTCTGGCTGGCTTGGCAGAGGGGCAGCGCAGCTAAATGCAGACTGCTGGCGGGGAAGCTGTGCTTCTGCCAACAGCAGCCCCCTCAACCACGGGAGGCCTACAGAGCACCCAGCACTGACAGAGAGAGAGAGAGAGAGAAAGAGTAGGAACAGTGGAGAAAAAGCAAAAAGAGAACCCAATAAGCTGGAACAGCATTGCCTGCCAAAAGGGTGACTGTGCAGAGAGAACGAGGGGGCGGTGGGTTGGGCTGAAGCAGAAAGGAGAACCAACAGCACTGTAAACAGGCCTGCATGGCACTACAAACACATTTTAGCTTACACATGAGCGAGAAACGTTTTCTCAGCATTTGTGCGGCAAGCTAAACAACAAGCAGCATGCAAGCTATGGTTGACTGACCCGGCGGACAATGCGGTCCACTCGCCTTCTGTCCCAGCCTGCTTCCAGCGAGAGGGAAGTTCGCAGTCACATCATGAAAAAGAGAGCGCGAGAGTGAGGGAGTGATTGAGAGTGAGAGAGGGAGCGAATGCACAAAATGCACGAGAGAAGCTCTAGTTGAACATCTAATTCGACTGATTCAGTGTGTGAAAGGGTCTGGTTCTTGGAGATAAAGCCAGTGGCAATTAACAGGCCTCACAAACAATGCAGCCTTATGATAGCCCTCTGTGCTAGGGCCCAGCCATGCTGATTCCCGAGCAGAGCTGTCAGGAAGCAAGAAGAGACGTCCTCAAGCCGGTACTGTAGATACCCAGCGTGCTGCCAGCCCCCATTTCCACAGCCGTGAGAAGGCACTCTGTATGTCACATGAGTCTAGCAGTGAAGCTATTGTACGGAGCCGGAAACGTGAGGTGGGTGGCTGGATGAGATTACTCTGCCAGGCTGTGGGATTGAGGAGGGAGAGAGAGAAGAAAAAGAAAGACAAGAGAAAGAGAAAGGGCATGAAGGATAGATTTTGAGAGCAGATAGAAAGGGTTACTTGTGGATAGCGGATGAGCTGCTTGTGGACAGTTCAGCAAAGGACAAAATTACCCCAAATATCATTGATCAGCCAAAACACTGACACCATGTCTTGCATACTGTTATCTACATTTACGGCATTTGGACGATGCAACTTACAAATGGATCATTTTTACACACGTAGGCGAAGGTCGTGTTAGGAGTCTTGCCCAAGGGCTCTTATTGGTTTAGTGTAGGGTGCTTGCCTAGACATGGGATTGAACCCCAGTCTACAGCATAGAAGGTGGAGGTCTTACCCACTACACCATACCGACCACGATAAAGCTTGTCTATAAAAATACAGCACATAGCTAAAAACAGAAGCAGCAGCACCTATAAGTCAGAATTTACTCCATACCTCGTTCATTTTTATGGGTAACAGTATGTCATACAGGGTCAAAAATTGGTGGGGTAAACCTCCATTACTTGTTAGCTGCACTAGCAAAACCGCTGTGCAAAACTAAAAAAGCAAAAATTTAAGAAAAATTTTAAAAAATTTAGACGACTAAGATGTTTTGGCAATCAATTATATTTTTTGCATTTTCTGCTATGACTTTAATCATTAGTGTCAAGTTACAGAAAGTGATCTCTGTTCAAGAAAAAGAAGCATCTAAGCCAATTACTGGTCGCTCCTTAGTGTTTTATAACGCTGTAAAGCCAGAGTGTGAACACATTCCAGTAAATTTGCGGCTCAGAAAGCAAAACAAAAAGCCTTAAACCTCCTCCACTGTTGTTGTTTTGTCCCTTCTCCAACAGTTGTTTGTTCTGTTTATCGATTGTGCCAGACGTCCTGGGGAGTAAAGCCAACCACTCCGTCCTGCTTCCCTCTTCCTGTACCTCCTTCTGCTCCTCCTCCTTCTTTGCTCCTCGTTCCCCACTTCTTCTTGCAAACTGTACTTTCTTGTTTAATTTAACCAGAAACGAGCAGCAAATGGGAGCTGCCGACCCAAAATCCCAGAGCGCCTGCGGTTTTGCACTCAACCTCCCCAATGAAAAGGCAATTTGCGAAATTACGTGATAGAGTAATTAGATGGAAGCCAGGCTTCAGATGGTTGCCACGCAGGCGCGGCGAAACGCTGGCTCCGAGTGCGAGCAGAGTTAGGCTGGCACTCAAAACTCTGAGCTTCCACTTATTTGTACACAGAGCTGGCGAACAGGAGGGAGCCTCCATCACAGCTCGTAAAAAAGCCAAACCGCAGCGCAA